GGAAATAAATCAAAGCAAATAAAGCAAGAATAAGAAAACAACTCGAAAAACACTTAAGAAGAATATATGAGAATGGTAGATTCTAAGACTATGGGTTCAATTAACAGTTGGGTTCCTTCAAATATATCACAACTAAATATTTTCTTTATCTACCCTATAAGATGATCACAAAATTAGCCTATCGTCCCTCTCGAGATCGATAAAACCGTAGATTATATCACATATATTAGCGTCTCCACTCAACACATGCAATTCCACTCCAAAAAGATTAAAAGACCCCAAAATCCTCACAACTCTCTACTAATCTCTCGATTCAAGTAAATAAATTGTGTCAAATATTAAAGATCTAATATTGAACTCATCTCGAATTATGAACAATATCATCAAACATGTAAAAGCAGTGGCCAATTGCAATTCATGAAATAAGAACAAAATATTTGAATAGGGTTCAAAAGAAAACGATCAATTATGATAAATCATCCGAAAAATCCCAAACTATTAATCTACTACCATGTCTTAGAATCAAAGAAATTTAGCTACTCATGTTTGAATTCAAATACATAGACATATAGAAATCATCATGAGAAAATAAGTTCAAAAGAGAGAAAGAAAAACTAGAAATCTTGTGGTTGATCTTCTCTTCTTCCCAATTGCTTCTCTTCTGTGTTCCAAGCCCTTCTCCTTGTGTTATCACGTTCTAGGGCTCAAGATCAGGTAAATAGGTCTTTTTATATGTCCAAAAGTCCTCTCCTAAGCGAAAAAGGTAAGCGATTAAAAACTGCCCGCGTCGCGACACGACCTGACACGCCCGTGTCACGGGTCGTGTCAGGTACCTGGGGTTCGAATTCTCTCTGTTGAGATGACATGGGTCGTGACACGACCTTGGAGCCCGTGTCAGAGGTCGTGTCACACCCCAGCATGCACGTTTTTGTCCGATTTGCTCGTTTCTTCCATTTTCCGTAGATAATCCACGTGCACCTTCAATAGCCACAAGCTTTACAAATATGTGAAAATATCTACAAAACAAGCACGCGTAATACCTTTCCAACAAATAGAGAATTAAAGCACAAATATGCAATTTATACACCACAAATGCAACAATTAAGCTCTAGATACTATATGAATATGGTGTAAAATCACACATGAACATTCGACGAGGCTGCGACGAGCGACGACGA